CCAGGCATTCGTCACCTCAGGGCCTCCTGGAACGCCCCGGCGCCCAATGATTTGGCGAGCTAAAAACGTGCGCCGAGCCGAAGCGGGAACGCGACTTTGAGAAAATTCAGCTCGGCGCCCAAGCGAGAAGGTCATTTCATTAACTTCGAGCGGGGGGGGGGCGCGCCCAATTCGTGCCATGCACTTTTGCGGGGTGGACGACAAGAACAGCTATGTGGGCAGGGAAAATCAGCATGGCATTGTTTCTGACACGTAAGGTGGCCTCTCCCGCCTTGGGGTTGCCCCAGAAAGTCCCCGCGCGATGTGCGCTGCGCCCCATTCCTGCCACGCGCTTCGCATCGTCGACGACAAGACAGGCCATGATGAAAGGAAAAACGGCACTTCCGTATTGTTTTTTACAATCAGGATGGGGGGGCCCGCAGCCCGCATGGACGTCCGCGCGCGATATGCGCCGCGCCCCATTCCTGCCACATAAAATGTCGCACCGTCGGCGACAAGGCAAGCCATGCTGAGAGGAAAAAACAGAGACTTTGTATTGATTTTTTACAGTCAGGATGGGCGGGCCCGGATTGACGGCCGCGCGCGATGTGCGCCGCGTCCCATATGTGCGCCGCGCCCCATTGCTGCCACATATTTCGCACCGTCGGCGACAAGGCAGGCCATGCTGAGAGGAATAAACGAAGGCTTTGTATTAATTTTTTACAGTCAGGATGGGCGGGCCCAGATTGACTCCCGCGCGCGATGTGCGCCGCGTCCCATTCCTGCCACGCTTTTCGCATCGTCGACGACAAGAAAGACGATGTTGAGAAGAACAACGGCCACTTTGTATGGATTTCTTACAGTCCGGATCGGAGGTCCCGGATTGGGTTGCTATCGGCCGGAATACGAGGTAGGTGGGGGTATAAAATAATAAGGAACAAGGATGTGGGTGTGGGTGGGTGTGCACGCCCGCGTGGCACGCTGTGCCAGAAGTTCGTGCAGAGGAGCCTCGTCCTCCTCCTCTTCCTCTTCCCTCCTCTGACCTCCTGCCCCCTTGGCGTCTCCCAACCCCGGCGCGCGGGGGGCGCGGGAGCGCGGGGCAACGAAGGAGGCAGGGGGAGAAGGGATGAGGAGGAGGAGGAGGAGGAGCAAGGGGGAGGGCGAGTAAGAGGGAGGGGGGGATGGCGCAGGAGGGGCGACGACGGGGACGAGGAGGAATGGCGACAAAAGTGAAGAAGGGTGAGCAGGAAGACAAGGGCAGCCGATGTGGCGAGTCAACGGCCCCCCTTGCCTTCGCGCGCACAACTCAGCCACGCGCTGGTCTCATGACGGGTCGAGAACGCCACGAGACGACTGCACGACGCTCGAAGACAATGCCGTTGCGACCAGCCGACTCTCCAAATTAGGCACACCAGCATGCCCTCAAGTGGCGCGAGGAAGCCTCCAAGAAGCACCCAAGGAAACCTTCAACGAGGATCTCGGGGTTCACAAACACAGAAGATCTCAACAAGTCTCCGTGTGGTTGGCTTTCGAGGCTTGTTGGCATTAGGTGGCCTGGGGAAACTCTCGAGTCCCAGACGCCCCCGACGAGGACGGCCCAGACATGTCTTCAAGGCGACCCCTATATGGCCCAATGACCCTCAGTAAAGCTCAATGCCGCCCTGGGAAGGCCCCAAGACCGAGTTTCTTCGGGAGAGCGTAGTAACCATCGCGCCGAAGAGAGCCCCGACACCCCAAGGAGGCCTCCCGAAGGCCCCCAAGAGACCCGAAGAGGAACCCTCCAAAAATGGGGGGAACAATAACGAGGAGCCTGTCGAACGCAGAGCGCAACCACCGTGCAACGCCATGGCGTCGTGACTGCACCACGCTACAGCGTCATAGCCGCCACAGGATCAGTGGTGGACAAAACCCCCTTTATGCGAGGAGGGGATCTGTCCATATCCACCGCCTCGGAAACCGACGCACAGGGACCCCAGCGGGCAGTGGACATGGATATGTCGGCCCTGGGCTCCCCGAATATCCATATCCACCGCCTGCCGACGTCCCCGAAGATCAATCCCCCAGGCGGTGCTCACCGACAAATCCCCGCCTCGGACGTTAGAACATCCACCGACCCCCGCTTGCTGGGGGCGAGAAGGCGCGTGAGATGATTGGCTGTCCCCCTCCCCCTTTCCCCCACCCCCAAGGTGCAACATCTCGTTTAAAGGGGGGATGCCCAGACTCCTAGGCGCATCACCGGAGACTCTTGAGCTGCGAAATCTGCCTTCCGTGGCCTCAGAAACGTTCCAAGACGATCCTGAATCGCCGAACGGTTGACCCAAGACGACTGCGATGGCTCCAAGACGTCCAAGACGCTATCGAGATGATTCAAGAGAAGCCCAAGAGCCTTCCCGAGAGGGCCCTGGGAGGCAAAAATAAATTGTTGTCCTTTGGTTTTTCATTGTTTGTGGGTTTGTCGTCTTCTCAAGCTGCACACGCTGAAAGACGGCCCAAGAGGCCCCGAACACCGCCCCAGAATTGCCCAAGAGGCTCTTACGAGGGCCCGAGGACGGCCCAAGAGGGTTACACGACGGCCAAAGAGGGGCCCAAGACGGCCAAATATTGTTCAAAGAAGACTCCAAAAGAAACCAAGAGGGATAACACGAAACGAAAATCCCATGCTCCGCACGAAAAAGGCCTCAAGAAACCCCCAAGCTGCCCAAAAGAGGCCCCAATAAGGCCCAGGAGGCTCCCAAGACGCCCAAAAGAGCAAGTAATACGACCCCCAAAGCGATTCAAAACTGCCTCCCCGAGGCTCCACCAGGACCCGAAACAGCTCAAGACGGCCACAAGAGTCCCCAGGTAGTGCCCAAGAAGCCCACGACGCCTCAACCGTGGTCTCCTGGCCACTTCTGGGGGTCGGCGGAATGTCGTAAGCCTCTTGAATACATTGACCGATTCCGGAAACCCTGAACCCAAAAATGTTGCCAACTCTTGGGGGCGCATCGTTTCGCAGGCTTCCGCTGGCCTCGTCCCGGCGTCCGCCGCCCTTCTGCAGCCCTTCCGCCGAGGGAGAGAGGGCAACTCCTTCGATCTTCGACGGCGAGGTCCTTTCTGGAACGCCTCAGTTGGAGATCTCGGTAGCATCGCGATGCGATCGTTTCGATGCTGCGCTGGTTTCTGGGCGGGTTTTTGCAGTTGCCCGCGAGACCCTCGGCGACTGATGGCAACGTGCGGCGGCCAGCTGACATCAGTTGCGGTTCGCGGCAGTCAGCGGAAGCTGTCGGCTGTTAGCAAAATAGTGGCGCTTGGTGACAGGTGGTGGGGATTCGTTCCCCTTCCCTCTTCTCGTACCCCCTCCTCCTCCTCCTCCTCCTCCTCCTCCTCCTCCTCCTCCTCCTCCTCCTCCTCCTCCTCCCCTTGATCCATCTCCTCATCCTCGTCAGCCTCCTCATCCCACTACATCCTCCCTCCTCCGTCCTCCTTCTCCTGCTCCTCCACATCTAGCTCACCACTCTCCTTCTCCTCCTCCTCTTCTCATTATTATTCGTGTTCTTACTGTTCTTATTATCAGTCTTAGTCTTATTGCTAGTATCAGTATCGTTATGTTTCTTCTGGTTATTAGTATTATTATGCTTATTATTATTCCTCCTACTTCTCCTCCTCCTCCTCCTCCTCCTTCCCCCCTTGATCCTGTTCCGCCCCTCGTCCCCCTCTGCGCCGCCTCTTCCGTCTCACCTTCCGCCTCCGCTGCCAGTGCCAGTCCGAGTGGAACGTCGCCCCCACTCTTCCGTGATTCGCTGAAACACTGCGGGGGTTGAAATCAAGAGTTCGGAGGTCTAGGGGAGCGATGATGATGATGACGATGCTGATGCTGATGCTGATGCGGTTGATGATGATGTTGTTGATGATGATGATGATGGTGATGATGATGATGCTGCGGATGATGATGATGATGATGATGATGATGATGTTGATGCTGATGCTGATGATGACGATGACGATGACGACGACGATGATTTTTTCCATCCATCGACATAAGGGAAAACAAAATCTAGCTGGAACTGTCTATGAGGACGCGTGCAGCTATCGTGATATACACTGGATTATCCCGTCGCAGGGAGCTGGGTCCCTATACTCGCTATGTGCGCGCGTGCAGGCCTAATGCTCAAGCAGGGCAGGCCAGGCTGATGGGCAAAGGGGCGAGGTGCGGAGCTAACCATAGTCTTCGAGGAGGCAGAGAAAATTCTCGGCGTACTCAGTGGTAATCGTTCTCGTGAGAGCGTCGTAATAGTTCTCGTGCTTCTGCATTGCGTCATTCGGTGCTACTTCCAATCGCCCCAGCTGTACTGGTGTGCGTGGTTGGTCCCAGACCTGGGACGTGGGTGCGAGCTCCATGGCAATGTCGAGCGCCTCGAAGTAGTTGTGGCTCTGCGTGAGCCCCAGCCGAATAGCGTCAACGATCTCCTCAGGGAACTTGTAGGAGTCGGCAATATTCACATCGTTCTCCAGAAGCCGAAAGGCTCGAGCGAGCCTCGGGAGTGGCGCCACCGCATCCTTCGTCTCGTCGAGAGACGTCTCGGGGAGGGCCTCGGCTGCAAGAGACTCCATGTTCTTTGTCAGCAACTCCATGTTCTTTGTCAGCGCGTCGATCTTGGGCTCCATCGCCAAAGAGCCCTCCTCCTGTGGCATCGGCTTGAACTCGAGGTCCTTCAGCAGCACCATGTCGAGGCCAGGGGGAGGGCCCAGCGTCGCACCAGCATGAAAGGCTCGGCACCGTTTTCTGCGTCTGTTCGCCTGTGCGCGCGAGCGCCGCACGCCAAGAGGCGAGGCGCTGCAGCGTTCAGCATGCATCGCAGGTGCAGGTAGATGCTCATCGCGACATTCATGAACTGGTGCATCAGCAGTGGCCGCCCGCGAGCACGGCAGCACTGCGCGCGCAGCGGCCATCCATGAGAGCCCCCCTTCTGAGGGGTGGGGCCAGAGTGGCGTCCGTGTGGTAAGTACCGGCGGCAGAGCAGGTTTGTGCCGAATGGGTACTTCGACGACGATGATGATGATGAGGATGATCATGGCGATCATGATGATTATGATAACGATGATGATGACGATGATGATGGTGTCGTTGCCGTGATTCCCCCCACGAAGAGGAAGCCTGCGATGCTTGCTACGTCCAGGAACGGATGAGGAATATGAAGAATAGTCGCCCGCTGAATTGCTCCACTCGCCATCGCAAGAGGACAGTAAGCGGAAGAACCAACGACCGACATGAACACGAGAAGGGGAACAATGATGACGAGGACGAGGGCAAGTGGGAGGCCTGACATGGGACCTCATCCCGAATCTAAAACAACAACGACACACACGCACCAATATCTGGGCATGAATCAAACGGGTTCTGATGAAAACGGGTCATGAACCGCTCTTTGTCCCGAGATCGTTTCCGGACAATCCCGAGGCCCGTGCAAGGCGAACAGCCTCGGGGCCCGCTTCCCTCTGGACCTGTTTGATTCCGGGCGAATGTCCCAGGAATCGGGGGTGGGCACTCGCGGCCGTGTGGTGTCGCTGCTTCTTGGCGCCCCGCCCGAGACATCTGCAGCGGATCTGGCCCAGTAGCGTGCGCCCTGCCTCCGCTGCCTCCGACCATGAGGAGAAGCGATAGGGCGTGAGGGGGGGCAGCACGGGGGGGGCGGGGTGGAGGAGAAACATCGACCTGGAATCGGCGACTGGCCTCTCATAGATCGGCGATAAGCCCAGATCTGGAAGCGGCCGATAGATCGGCGATGGGCCTCAGAGAGCGAATCCAGATGGCCCTGGGCGGACTGGGGCTCCCCATCGGCGACGAATGAACAATAGGGGGTCGATGACCCCCCTCGGAGAATACTCCGAGTGGGATGATACTCCCCCACCCCCCCACCGTGGATCCGTGGGGGTGGGAGGGCGCGTGCTGTCGAAACGGGTGGCGGGGGGGTGGAGGAAGAGGAAGGAGACAAGAAGGAGGAGGAAGAGGAGGAGGAGGAGAAAGAGGAGGAGGAGGACGGTAGCGTTTTTGGCTCAAGTTCGAACCCCGCGTCGCGGGGGCTCGAGATTGCAGGTTTCCCCGCCGCCGTGCGACAACAATCGATTACCACAGGGAACGCCAGACGCATCCTCTTGTCACCTCCAATGTTCAGCTGGGGGGGGAGCCTTTCCGTTCCTCCCATATCCAAAAGCTGATGGCCCGCAGCGGCGGGCGGTTCGCAGGAACTGAAGTGGGGGCCGCCTGCTCCACCCGCGGTTGCAAGAAGAATCCGCCGCACTTCCGCTGCTGGCTACCGCTTGGCATTTCTAATCCGCATCCTCGGGCAGGGGCCTGGAATCAGGCTCCGTGGGTCCGCGCGGGGGGAGGTGCTGGTGGCAGCCAGAAGGGAGGAGCCGAGGGGCAGAAGGGGACAGGCATCGACCCGCAGCCCTCCCTTCGGCCAAGCCAGGGCCAACCCAAGGGAGCCATGGAGGAGCTGCACCGTCTGCAGCAGCTCTGCACTACCGGCAAATTCGAGGACATCGGATCGGATCGGATCGCCTGTGCGGGCATGCGCCCGGGCACCTGAAGGGCGAGACGGGTGAGGCCATGGCCTCGCATGAGAGGCAGCGCGCGTCGGAGGCTTGCTCAGGATAATGCGTACCTCACGAGTTGATGTTCGATGTATTCCCACTCCTCTGTTGTAGTGACGTAGTTTCGTTGAAGTCGTCGCGTCTGTGGCGTGAGCCTGTCGGATAATCCCGTGGATGTCATCGTCCTTTCTGTAATCGCGCAGCCCAAACCAAACACGAACGAATTGAACGCCTCGGAACTCCAATCCAGTGCACACGGGCGCAGGATCACTCGTGCTTTCACGAGCTCTTTGACACATCCTTTAGATACGACTCAGGGCGCAAATACACGCGCAGCCGAAGGCCCATGAGCTGGAGGTCGATTGGTGGTGGAAACGGGAAGTCGGAGGCTAGAATTTTGCGGTCGGGATGTTGTGTGCTGGTGGAGGGTGGAGGTTGATTGGTGGAGGTGGAAGTCGAGAGTCGGATGCTGCAAGTTGGTGGTTGGAATGCTGATTTGGTGGGCGTCGGAAGTCGACAAATAGAGGCGGGAGTGGAGAATCGGATGCTAGAGGCTGGAGGTCGGAATGCGGGGCTGTTGGACGCTGGAGGTCGATAGGCGGAGGTGGATCGAAAGTCGGATGCTAGACGGTGGTGGTCGGAGTGCTTGCTGGTGGGCGCTGGAGGCCGATTGGTCGAGCTGGAAGTGGAGAGCCGGATGCTGGAGGTTGGAGGTCTTAATGTTGAGCTGATGATCGTTGGAGGTCGATCGGTGGAAGTGGAGGTGGAGAGTCGGAAGCTGGAGATTGCAAGTCGGAGTGCTGACCTGGTGGACGCTGGAGGTCGATGAGTGGAGGGGGAAATGGGAAGTCAGATGCTGGAGGTTGGACGCCGTGATGTTGAGCTGATGGACGCTGGAGGTCGATCGGTGGAGGTGGAAGCGGAACGTCGCATGCTAGAGGAAGGAGGTCAATGTTGAGCTGGTGAACGTTGCAGGTCGATCGGTGGAGCTGGAAATGGAAAGTCGGATGCTAGGGGTTGGAGATCGGAGTGCTGAGCTGGTGGACGCTGGAGGTCGATAGGTCGAGCTGAAGTGGAGAGCCGGATGCTAGAGGTTGGAGGTCGTAATGTTGAGCAGATGGACGCTGGAGGTCGATAGGTGAAGGTGGAAATGGAAAGTCGGACGCTAGAGGTTGAGGTCGTAATGTTGAGCTGGCGGAGGTAGGGGGGTCGATCGGTGGAGGTGGAAGTGAAGAATCGCATGCTAGAGGTTGGCGGTCGTAATGTTGAGCTGATGGACGCTGGAGGTCGACAGGTGGATGTGGAAGCGGAGAGTCGGATGCTGGAAATTGTTGCACGGCCGGTATGAAATAACATTTGCGCGTTCTTCTGCCCCTCAGAGAGAAACTCGGTCTGCTGCCCACGGAAGCGCGCGCGTTCATTGCCAGTTTACGGTGGGTCAGCCCAGCAAGCCAAGCGCGACGAGCTGCCACCCTCTCGGGCATTTCAGCGCGCGGAGCAAGAACAGGCTCGACAGGAAAGGGAGATCGACAAGATGGAGCAGGCCCTCGAGAGCATCACAGGACAGCTGCGAGATTTGGCCTCTCAGAAAGCAGAGCTCGAGCAAGCCATCGCGATGGAACGTCGAGCTGCTGATGAAGCCAGGAAGGCAGCGGCTGATCGCATCTCTCAGGGATCTCAAGGGCCACCTCTTCCAGATTTTGAAGCGCTTCGCAAGCGCATGGAATAGTTCCAGCCCGCGCTTGCGGGGGTCCAACCCCCCGAGACCCGCCCAAACTTGGAGGCGAAGTACAGCGGCACCGTGGGGGTTCTTCCACCGAGACCCGCCCCTGCGATGGGGGGAACGATGGTGGGGCGAACACTCCGTACATGGAGGTGGGCGAGTCTGACACTCCCGAGCCTGTGTCCAAATTGATGGAGCATCGGAGTCCGTCAAGAGGCAACTCCTAGCAGCCTTGCTTCAAGCCTGCAAGAAGCCGCGTTTTCGTTCCCCTGGACGAGGTGGATGGATCAACGCAGTTTGCGCGCCCTTGGGTGGATCAGTTTTCACTTGCGCGCCAGCTTCCTCCTCGGCTGGGTAATCCTCTAGGAATGCGGCTACTCCAGCTGCTTCGGGCACGCGCTCGACTTCGGTTGCCATGCTGGACTTACGCGGTGCGATGGATCGACCAAAAGCATCGTCTGTCGGGTCTTCCACGGGGCCCTCGGCGTTTGGCGCATCACAAGTTGAACCTTCGGCCCGTGGGTCCACGTGCGCGAGTTCCTCAACAGTGGGGGCATCAGTCGTCTCAATCACTGCAGACTCGTCGGATCTAGGCAATCTTCTCGAATCAGACAGGGCAGTCTGGCAGGGAGCTGTGCGTCCGTCGACCGAACCCGATGTCTCACTAAGGGTCGGTCTGATTGGTCAGGGCCCCGTCCAGGGCCAGGACGGCAGAATTTGGGCCAAAATTCGCCACTTGCAATGGGTCGAACTGAAGTGGGCGGGCCCAAGATGAGATTGATGGAGTCGCGGGGCGAAGCCGGACACCCGGCTTCTCTGAGTTGTTCAGGGCCACTGACGCGGATGCTGTTCTTTTCCAGGAACACTCGCTTCGCGGTGGGCTTTACGATGCGATGCGCTCGAGAATCCAACGGCAAGGCTGGCGTGTCTTTGGTGGCTCATATCCTTTATCGGAGTCAGGCTCAGATAGACCATCAGGAGGTGCGTTGATTGCTGTGCGAAAGATATCTGGATGCTCGGGTACTTCCTGAAGCCTCACCTGTTACAGTAGAAGGGCATGTTGCCCGATGCTGTGTCAGGAGTGCGGGGCTAAATTGATTCGACATCCATTATGCTTACCTCGAGGATTCGGTCGGCATGATAGGAACCAACGTTAAAGTCACGAAGAGGCTATGGGAAAACATGTTCAGCCACAGCGTGCCATTTATCATCCTCGGGGAAGTCAACATGAGCCCCGCTGATCTCACAGCAGGCTCCCCTCTCAGTCAGCTCAGCGCAATTGTTCGTGCCGCGGAGGGCCCCGCTTTCGTGTCCGACTGGTCATCGGTCATCAATTAGTTTGTGGTCAGCAGGATCCTGGACCACGCTTCGCAGGTTTTGCACGTGGATCTGAGCGCCCCGGTCAGTCCCCATCGATCTGTCTACTTAGGTTTCAGGCAGGCCTTTGGGAGACGCGCGTGTCAAGGTCCCCAAACGAAGTACCAACATGTGCCTCCCGGGCCCTTCATAAGCCCCCCCCCAAACAAAAAAAACAACTGCGACGACGCTGCCCAGGAGCTTCGGAACTACCTCGCCCCCGGGAGGGGCGACAAACGAGGGTCGTGCATGGGCGTTGGCGAGGACCGCGCGATGGGCACAAAGATCCTCGATCGGCTCTACCAGACCTGGGGCGTGGTCTGAAGTGCTCGATAGGGGTCATGGCCACGGGGGTCTCGGGCTTCCTGG